CGCGGCAGTCTGCGCAGGCTGCCCCCCCCACCCGGTGGTCGGAAGGGGGGCGGTGCCGACGGCGCTGGGGCCCTGGCCTTCTCCTTTCTTTTGGCCGCGCGCAGACGTGGGGCCTTGCTCCCTCCCCAGTAGAACGACCCTCTTCCTTGTACTGTACTGCACGGCGACGCGCTTCACATATCGTCGTACTGGCGGGCCCACGGCGGCGCCACCTACGCTCACTGGCGCGGGACCTGCGCGTGCCCGTCGGTCCGCAGCCGGGCGGGGCATGAGCGACGATGTCCTCCTCCACGGCCGCCTCCTCCGCGACCTCCGCGGCATCAGAAAACTTGGCAAAGACGCTGGAGAGGCCCTCTAGCGCCGCTGCCGAGTTCCAGGCGGTGCAGGGATTCTCCTCCCCGTCCTGGGGCAACGCGGCTGCCTGGCAATGGGCTGCCGCTTCCGTAGGAGGGGGAGCGGGAGGAGGAGGCGGAGGAGGAGGCGGAGGAGGACAGACTAAGGTGCCTCGAGGACCATGGCGGGCCGCGAGGAGGAGGACGAGGAGGAGGATGGGGCCCAAGAAGGAACGAAACGAGGCGTGGGCCCGTCCTGCGAGTCGAGCTCGCCGTCGCCGTCGTCGAGGATCTCCCAGAGCTCGTCGATGTCCTGGCTGCTCATGCTGCTGCCCCTCAGCCTCATCCCTCTTCTCCTTCCCCATCCCTTCTCGGCGTCGATGCCCTGCCGCTCATCATCATGTTCCCTGTTCCTCCTCCTTCTTCTTCACCTCCTGAAGCTCATTGCCATGGTCACCACCATCATCAACATCATCATTATCACCATCATCATCACAAGCAGCACCATCAACACCATCATCAACATGACCAACATCATCATTAGCACCATCGTGGCCCATCACCACCAGCACCACCATGCACAATCATCATGATCATCATCACCATGCTCATCTTCGACACCATCACCACAGAGATCAACATCCCCATTCTTATCATCACCATCATCATCAGCATCTTCACGCTGCTCACGATCACGATCCTCATCATCATCACCATCATCACCATCACGATCATCACCACCACGACCATCCTCATCATCATCATCATCGCCAGAGACATTGTCTCTTCTATATCTCCATCTTTACCTTCATCCCCATCTCCGTCTCCATCTTCATCGTCATCATCGTCACCACCATCACCGTTCTCATCACCATCATCATCACCATCATTCCCAGCACCACCACCATCATCATCATCATCATCATCATCATCATCACCATCATCATAACCATCATCATCACCATTATCGCCACCAACACCAGCACCAGCAACAGCACCGTCATCACCATCAGTACCAACACCACCACCATACTATTTCCAATAACAGGCATCACTACCACTACCATGATCATCATCGTCATGAGCATCATCATCATCATCATCATCATCTTCAGATCTATCATCATAGTCATCACCATCCTCATTCCAATCACCATCAACATCATCACCATGATCACGATCATGATCCTTCATCGCCATCATCATCAGGATCATCATAACCACCATCATCCTCATCGTCATCGTCATCGTCGTCATCTTCATCCTCATCATCATAATCATTATCACCATCATCTCCATCACCATCACCATCATCATATTCGTCGTCATCTAATGACATTCATCTTCATCTTTATCCCCATGCCGATGTTCATATTCATCTTCTTCACCAGCATCATCAGCAGCATGATCATCATCATCATCATCATCATCATCATCATCCTCTTCGTCATCATCATCATCATCATCATCATCATCATTACCATCATCATAAGGATCATCATCAACATCAGCAGTACCAACATCATCATCATCACCATCATCATCATCATCATCACCGCCACCACCACCATCATCATCATCATCATCATCATCATGATCATGATCATCATCATCATCATCAGCATCATCATCATCATCATCACGTTCTCACGGCCGCGTGCACGGAGGCTGCGGGGACGCGGGGTCGCCAGAGGAAGCCGCACCCCAGAGGGGCCCAAGCAGCCGGCCGCGCGGCGCGATGCGCTGGCGCGCCCCCGCGGGGCCGCCTGGACAGGGCCCGTGCTGGCCCTGATCGTGGCCTCGCTCCTGCTGGACCGCGCGGGCCTTGAGCGCGCGATGCAGCACCGCAGCGACGTCGACTACACGAGCCCCAGCTCGCCGAGAGAGGAGGGGAGGGAGGCGGCGGAGGAGGAGGAGGAGGAGGAGGAGGAGGAGAAGGAGGAGGATGAGGAGCAGGATGAGGAGGATGAGGCGGCGGAGGCGGAGGAGGAGGAGGAGGAGGAGCAGGAGGAGGAGGAGGAGGTGGAGGAGGAGAAGGAGGAGGAGGAGCAGATGAGGAGGAGGAGGAGGCGGCGAAGGCGGAGAGAAGGAGGAGGAGGAGGAGCAGGAGAGGAGGAGGAGGAGGGGAGGAGGAGGAGGGAGGAGGAGGAGGAGAGGAGGAGGAGGAG